ACCTCCCCGGCGCCGTTCCGGGGTGCCGCCGCCTTGTAGCGGCCCCTCGGCGGCGGGGAGCCGGTTTTGCCGGGTTTGGACGCGTCTTCAGCGCTTTCGTCCGTATCGGCCTTTTCCTGAAGGACCCGTTCTCATACCGAGCGATGGCGCGCTCAGCCCTCTCTCCGGTCTGCTGTAACTTCAGTTTCAAAGCATCCAGGTCGCACCGGTAGCCCGGCTGTTACCGCCGTCTCTCCCCGCTGCCCTCTCAGGTCGGCCCTGCGCCCCTGGGCCCGGCTCCGCGCCGAGGGGCCAGACCTTCGGGGAATGGCCTGTGGACAACGACCGCCCTCTGGTCATAAGTAAACCTGGAACTCCTCAGCCTCGGAAGGAGGAAGGCTTACTTAAAGAAATCTTCCAGTCACGGAGCTAAAAGGTGGGAGGAGGGCGTAGGCTGTGTCACTGAGTGGGACAGTGGCCACTTCAGGGGACGTGTGAAGATGAGAGTGGGACGGTTTTTGGGGACATCCCTTATTCTGAGGGTCAGGGGGAAGTAAAACTTAAACTTGTTAAGTGCATGACTTGCCCCTGGGCCTGAGCTGAGTGTAGGTATCCCAAACTTCTAAAGAACGGGTATTCGAAATGCCCGATAGACTTGGAAATGTTCAGTGAGCAACACGTGTTCTGTGTTGACATGCGCGTTGTCTGTCTTATGCTGCGGATAAATTTGGGAGCTTATTGAAACAAATCTTGTTTCTAGAAAGTCAGTTGCATCTCTTTTTCTGACCATCGGTAGTTTTGCTGTTCTTATATTTAAAACTGTCCACTTTACTTTTTTTTTAGCAACCGTATTGTCTTTCCTTCTCGAGAGTTATGTAGCTTTTGTTGTTTGTGTTTCTGTGCTGCTTCTTCCAATACAATTACTTATGTACATACTGAAATTAATTAAAACACTGTAAGGTAGATAACATTTGAATGGCCAGAAGGTATGACGTGGGAGAGGGGATAACAACTTTTGTAAAATGGAACTTCTGCTTTAAAAAAAAAAAAAAAATTTTTTTTAAAATCTCAAATTAACTCCCAGGGAGTTACTTTTACTGTCATAGAACTTTGTTTTCACAATAAATAGAGCTTGCATATCTTATGTAGGCAGTTGTCGCTATCTCATACAAGGTAGCATATCTATGCTTTTAAACATCAGTGGTGTTGTGACTCTGAGATAAAGTTGTTTTACTGTGTTTGTATTTGTTAAGCTCATCAGGAGTATGCAATGTATCAGAATCACTATTAGGGTAATCTTGTAAGCCGGCCTTTTATTTTGTTGTGTTGTGACATTATAACATTGTCAGATATTTACTTGATCTTGGTAAGAAATCTGCTGGCTTATCCGTGTATATAAAGAAATCTTAACTTAATCCTTTCTTAAATTAAGAAAAAAAAAAAAATCAAACCGTTCTTTTACCTAAACCAAAGAGAATTTGTCAGAGCGGTGTTTGGGAGCTGCTATGTGTGCAGCTCTGTCTGGAGACCTGGGGGGGCTGCAGGCTTTTCACCCGCAGCAGGTGTAGCAAGTGCAGGATGCCTGACTGCTGGAATAACTAGCGCTTGCCCCTTGAAGTTCATCGATATACGCTTTGTTTCTGTGGCAAAGTATGAGTAGTTTTCTTTTACATGAGGTGATTTTACGTGTACTTTTCTGGTACACTTCCTATTCTCAGGCAGGAGTTCACGGTTCACACTCACGGTTCAGGCTTGTCTTCATCACACGCTTCCTGTTTTGAATCACTCTGCCATGTTCCTGAAAACAGATTTGACCTATCTTTCTAGCTTCCCCCCTGTTGTATTTTGGTAGCAGCTTAAGCATGTTTTGATTGTGTCCATGATTGGATCTCTCTTAAGAATGTTTCAAATTAATTTAATTAAGTGTTTGTGCAGGAATTTAATTTAAACCTGAAATATCAATTCTCCCATAACCTGATAGCGCGCTCTCTGTTTCTTCAGACTGTCTAACACTGTGTTCCTTTTCCCTTTCCCATCCCCGTCTGTTACTTGGGAACGAGTAAATGGTACTAAGCCAGGTATGAATTGAATTGAGGGGCTACAAATCGTTGTGCAGTTTCATAAAAAAAACCTCTTTCAGTTAAACCACTGTGACTCAGAAAACAGGTTGCAGTGCTTAACTTCCCACTGCTTTTTGATCCATCCACTTTCCACCATGCACGCTGTCAAATCTGCTCTGTTCTGTATCATTTAGGCTCCTAAACTGGGGCCTGAGCTGCTTCGGTCCTCTCTCTGGCCTCCCCAACACTTAGTAGGAGCAAAGAGCGTTCTCTTGGCCCTGAACGAGCGTTCTCGTGCTGAACTTTTCGGTTCCCTTGCCGAATCCGTCTGTTGTCTTTCCTTTTGTTTTTCTTTTATTGTCGTCTTTTTTTGCATCACGCCATCCACATTTCCAATGGTGCCAGTTTTTGACAGATTCTACATAAACAGGGACTCTTTGATCCATGTGATTTCTTTTAAGTAGAATGTACAAGCTGAAATTACAAGCAAGGCCTCGACTTTTTTTTCTTCGGAAGAATTTTAAAGCCCCGTTTCTGCTATGAAGTGACCAAATAAACAGTAGCTGACTTTATCCTGGCTAAACGGCCGTTGTTTGGAGCCAGATAAGTTAGGTATTGAGGTGGATGTAAAGAAAAAAAACTGATGATGACTGTAGTCATCAAAACAGAGCGAGGCTCACAAGCAGTTTAACTAGTGATTGAAACAAGAAACATAATGGCTTTCAGGAGAATCCTATTAGTTTATAAATGAGTGTGTGATAAGGTTGTCTGTAATGAAAAGGGACTAGACTCATTAATCTGGAAGGCTGCCTCCAGTCTTGGGTTGTTAGGTTAGCGCTAATGCATCTCATTTCGTTGTTATTTTTTTCCTTCTTAGAAGTGAAAGTTGTTAAAATAATGGAATGATTTAATAGGGAGGTTGTATGCTTGTTATTAATTTGTTTTTTAAATTACGTTAGATTTTTTTCTAAAACATATGCTTTAATTTGGCTCTGGGCTGTGATAGTTATCATCTGTGAATAGATGCTCCCATCCCTCGTGGCCCGTGGTTTGAACAGGTTTGCCTACATTGCCTTCAGCACACGCACAACATCAACTCCGCTCAAAAACCACAACTATGATCAGATCTCACGTTTCAGGGATTCAGTACATTTATTGCATGGGTCAGAGAAGACTTTTTTTATCATGCACAATTGCTTAGATGTATTCTGACAGGATGCAGAAGTTCTCTCATCAGATACCAGGCTTGTGTTGTACTCACTTATTTAGCCTCAAACTCATCTCTGGATTGGAAATTAAGAAGAATTTTCCAAACTAGAAGAGATCTTGAATTCCTTTTTCTTTCTCCTGGGATGTGCTAGATCTGAAGATCTGTCTTGCTACTCAGTTGCCTGTTACTGCAGGGTTCTTGGCACGCTGCGTTTCGTGTGTCACTGACAGAAAACTGGAGTTTCTTCTGAAGACTGAGCTAAGAGCCGCAAAGGGACCTCAGTTTAATGTTCTCTTGTGCATATATTCAGTTACAATCTGATGTAGCATTCCTACTCGGGTTTATACTTTTTAATGTTTGAAGCTACATAGTAGCTAGTATATATTGTTTACTACTTCTGCCTTCCATCAGTTTTCTTTATGGTTTGCTTATAAGAGGGCTTCAATTTGGGTCTGTTCAGAGTTGAAGTTAATTTGCTTGACAGTTTTTGATTTTACTGAGCCTTTAACTCGACACATATGTATCTTGCTCTTTTTTTTTACTGTGACACTCTTGAGTGTTTTTATGAAGACTGAGTAGTATGTGAAAAAGCATGACTACTGTCGCCGCTTTTTATTTGTAGACTTCTGAGTTTTTCAAAAGAGCAGGTAGGTAATAGTTAGATGTATTTCTGTAGGACTGCACTAAATGACATGTAAGCACTTCAAGAAGGTAATAAATTTAGTGTCCTGTTATGCTTACAAAGGAAAATATTCTATTTTCATAGGAAGAACTGCAAACAGTGGGGCTTTTTTCACAGTTTCCACAGCAGGTCTCCTTGCTGTCCTAGGACTCCTACATCCCCAGTAAGTGCAAGGACTGTTATTTCCCCGGCATCCAGAGGCCCAGCAAGGTTGTAACATTTACAAGCTCATATAATGGCTAACCAGCAAAGCTAGGGTTAGAAGGCAGGGCTCCTCATTTTAGACCCTGTGTTTGAAATACAAGGTCATGTTGCCTTCTGTGTTGTAATTAATGTATTCTTTTTCAGATCCTTGTTGGGCATCTATAAACAGGGGGATTCTGATCTGTGATGAGTGCTGTAGCGTTCATCGAAGTTTGGGGCGTCATATCTCTCAAGTGAGACATCTCAAGCATACACCATGGCCTCCAACGCTGCTGCAGGTAAAAAGGAAAACTGTGTCTTCCTTCATTAAAACTGGATATATTAATTTTTTTTAACATTTTCTTAATGGAATTTAAATCTCTAAGCTTTTGTCTGAGAGGGGCTGGTCCTTTTAAGCTTTCTTTTTCTAAGTGAATCTCCTTTTATTTCTTTTGTTTTGCCATGATGGACCACTAAAATCAGAATTGTCTATGCCTTTTTAATTTGATACCTGTGTTTTGGAAGGTCACCTTCAACTTTTCTTTCAGACTTCTGCAATGCATTTGCTTCAACCTAAACTTTCAATATGTAGCAAGCCTCTCTTTTCAGTAGAGCTGCTCTTGGGAAGAGTAGAGAATTTTAAGGGGGTTCTTATTACATTCCACATAATAACCTCCTAGGCATGTGCCTGGTTCTGATATCCCAGTAAATTTTGGATGCTGGCACACAGAATATGAATCTCTGGCTTGCTGTCCGCTTGAAAATAATTACAGCTACTTGATTAGTCAGTCTGTGCAGCTGGCAGCAAAATTTCTTTACTGCCTGTTTGTATACATTTTGGATTTCAGATGGTTGAAACACTGTATAATAATGGTGCTAACTCCATATGGGAACATTCATTGCTGGACCCTGCCTCTGTTATGAGTGGAAGGCGCAAAGCTAGCCCACAGGATAAAGTGCAGTAAGTGGAAAATTACAGAATTTTTGTTTTTGTAGAAGTGTGATTATTTTATTCAGCAGTGACAGGGGCAGCAGGGTATCCGTGTGTATGTTTTCTTGCTGGAAGAGAACAGGAGTAAACTAGTTATTTGTTCACTCATTTTTAATTTTTTTATTTTTTAAAAAATTCCCAATGATTAATTTTTCAAAATTTATTGCAAAGATGGAAATACATTGCTTGAATTCTCCGAACTATTGATTCCTGACCTCTAGCTTTGAGTAGTGAGGACCTTTACTTGTAATTGAATCAGAAGACTTTTAATTCTCATGCCACGTGCTTCAGTTAACTGAATGCTACTAATGAGATTGAGTTTGGTTGATGAATTAAAAAATTGAGAGAAGATTTCTGTCACTGAATATGGTGCTTCATTTTAAAATGTAAATAACTGCATATAGTAAGATCTTAAGTTGGCATAATTTTAAGTTCAATGTTTACTTCTAAGAAATATACCCTACATCCTAGAGTCTGCAGATATTTTGATGTTTGTAACAAAAGTATGCTCTGTATAGTTAGACAATCTGCACTGGGTTGTTTTTTTAATGAAAATATTTTTCCGGTCTAACTTTGCTACTAGTAGCATGCAAAGATCTAATGCAATCTTCACTTGCGAATTTTCATTTTTCTAGAGCACCTGTATTATTGTGAAAGCACTAATATTTATTTTCTTTCCCTTCTGTTGCTTGGGTTTCTCTTTACAGTCCCAATAAAGCAGAATTCATTAGAGCTAAATATCAGATGTTAGCATTTGTTCATCGCTTGCCATGCCGTGAAGATGACAGTGTTACTGCCAAAGATCTTAGTAAGGTTAGTATTTTTTTCTGGCAGTCTGCAGAAGCTACAACTTGTGTGTAACAGAACAGTGAAATCTGACTGAATTAAATTAGTTGCTTTTGACTTGAGATAACTGTTGCTGTTCTTCAGCACTATTATGTAAACAAATACAGCTTGACTTCAACTGAAGCCGCTTTTTTGGGGTAATACATATGGATACTGGAGATGTGGATGGTTGAGAGGCATCAATTTAGGTTAACTTGGAGAAAAATGTTTACACAAAACAGCTGTAGCAAGAATTCTTGCATACCTGTTTCTAAAAGCTTGGCTGAAAAAACAAAAGCTGAATCACAGTTATTGCTGCCGTATTAAGTATAATCCTGCTTTTTTTTCAGCAACTCCATTCCAGTGTAAGGACAGGGAATCTGGAGACATGTTTGCGATTACTCTCCTTAGGAGCTCAAGCCAACTTCTTTCATCCTGTATGAACACTTTTTTCATTATTTTGATATACAATCAATTCTTACAGTTCGTAATATTTATACTGATTTCAGCTAATACACATTATATTTCAATCTTCTACTCAGACCTGTTGATTAAGTAGATATTTTTCTTAATGACCTGTAGGAGAAAGGAAACACCCCGCTCCATGTTGCTGCTAAGGCAGGACAGACTTTACAAGCAGAATTATTAGCGGTTTATGGTGCTGATCCTGGCACACAAGATTCCAATGGAAAAACTCCAGTTGAGTATGCAAGGTAGACGTCTCTGACTTATGTGATGCTCTTATACATTAACTGATGTTCATAAATCACATGATGAACTTGCTTAGATATGTTTCTGTCCTGAAAATAATTTGACAGTTAAATGCTAATAAGTACTTTTTCAAGAAAGAGCAAATGCATAAAAAGTATAAATAAGCATTTTCATCATTTCATAGCCTGTATTCTCTTGGATGCTTGAGGCAACAGTTGTGATCCCAATGAAACAGGCTGTGCCAATCTGGCAGCTCACAGAAAAGTAATCTGAGGAGAAGAGTTTCTGCAAGTTCAGCAAGCTGAGTAGACTCCAGGAGTGCGGATTAACTAGGGAATTGCTGTAGGAAAGGGCTGGACTGCACAGATGGGTCAGGGAGCAGGGGGTGGAACCAGGCTTTTTAGTGGCAGTGAACTGTGAGGCTCATCCAGTTGCAGAACTGCACCCTCAGGAAAGCCTACCTTTAGAAAGGCTCTAGGCTTCCCAAGGGCAAGAAAGATTAAACATGAATGTCTCTGCTGATCAGTTGGGCAGTAATGAGGCACTGCAAGATTTGCAGCACAGCATTGAAGTTCTTTTTGTGTTTATGTGCAAAATTGGACATTACTGATCAACTAGAAGCTGCACGTTTGTGTAAATAAAACATCCTCATTGCTCTGATTGCTTTTGAATTGAGGCCATACGTGGAAACTGAAGACTGAATAAGTTCACTTGGTTGCACCACAATATGCCAGAATATTTCTATTTCTCAATGCTATTAATCAAGTGTGAAGTTGGGTGAATTTGCTGCATGAGCTCAGGAACTGTCTAGAAAATCGTAAATAACATATTCAAAATAGCCTATATAATCTGGGTTTTTTTCTACAGCAAAGCAGTAGGCAAAGGTTTTCAGAGTTTTCACTGACTCATTCTGGGAAGTTCATAAAAGTTTACCTATAGGGGTTTTTTGCCCACTAGAACATACTGTTGAAAATCCTGCTGTGAGTCTGTGCTGTGTTGAAACACTTCAACATGTGCAGTGTTGAACAGTGGCTTGTACTAAATCTATTTCTCTGACCATTTTTTAAGTTTTTGTATGTCTCAAAATGAATAACTAATGTAACTTTTTTTTTGTGTGTGTGTGTAAACCAGACAAGGTGGGCATCATGAACTGGCAGAGCGCCTGGTGGAAATTCAGTATGAACTCACAGACAGGTTAGCTTTCTATCTCTGTGGCAGGAAACCAGGTAAGTAGAAAAAACTACGCTCCAAGATCTTTCAGTGTTAATTACAGGACAGTTCAAACTATGGTATATAATGTTTGTGTCAGTGTTATTACACTTTTTATATGCATTTCAAATATTCTAACGTTATATAAATTATACAGGAAGAACTAAAGAAAGTATAAGATGTAAGATTAGTGATAATGCATTTAAAATTCAGATAAAACTGCAGGATTTTTAGTATACCTACATTAAAAATGAAGTTCCTTTCTGGTTTTCCACAAATATGTGTTCTATAAATGGAATAGCCCTGAAAGTGTGGAGAAACCTACATGTAAGATCAGATGAGTACTGTTTAACTTCAAGGAGTGAATTGCAGGGAAAATACAGATTTTGAGACTGTTGAATAGCCTGCAGGAGATATTGTAGAAACTCTTCTAAGTAGTTTCTTCTCATTGAAAGCAGGGGAGTATTCAATTAAGTGGGTACCTGTTGAACACAAGCATGCTTTTAAAAATTTTTAGCCATTAGGTCCCATAAAGGCACCTATGTTAGAACTTAATTTTTTTTTTTAATGGAGTTTTACTACAGTTGATAAACCTTAATTGGAATCTTTGGTAACACCAGGAAGTTGTGGTAGGAACCTTCTTTTAAGACTTATTAGCTTCATATAACTGGAAATTGAGTAATTACATGCAAGGTAAATTAGTCTACATTTGCCTGTTGCATATGCTGGGGCTTCTCATTACTGTATCTTTTAGTAAAACTGAATACCAGCTGTATATCCTGACAACACTGAAAACTATAGTCCAGTAACAACCTATTAAAGTGCAATTTGTTTTCAACTCTAGAGCATAAAAATGGACAGCACTTTGTTATACCTCAGATGGCAGACAGGTAAGTGGCTGATTCCGTGGCATGTCTGAAAATATCAAAATAAAAAACCCTAATAATTAAGTTTCCTTTCCTTTCTGAAACAACTTTTAAGCTTGTTGTCATTCTAACTTTTTAATGTGTGCCTTTCTCGATCTTGGAAGCTTTTTTTTTCCTAGAAAGAATATTAGCATTTAAACAAAATTAAAAAATTATAGAAGTTTACTGTATTTGTTAAAATGCAGGGGGAAGGTGAGACAGTTATATTAAGGGAACACACATGAGGATTCCTGGGAGACAGATTTTATAAATAATGTAAGGACCAATTGAGTTAGTTTCCTGATACAGCATTTTGAAACTAATACTTGCAAGAAAGCTGCATTTTTCTCTGAAAATATTTATACTTTTGCTCATCTGAGTGCTTTTAACTTTTGGTTATGATCAGTGAAATCATATTTGTATAAAACATATCAAGTATTAATCATAAGTCCCTATTTTTCTTTTATTGCTATGCAATTGGAAATAAGACGGCTGTAAGTAAACTTGTTCAACTTATTGCTTGCAAAATTTATGTGGAAAAACTAATAAAATAAAAATTCTAGAGAGAAACTGTAATAGTTGGTAAAATAGTGTGAACATCTGTAATTTTTTTAGATATGCTGTGTTTAGCTATTGGATAAAGTACTCTGTATTTTCAGTGCAGAGTATTTTGCAGAGCAGACTAAGTGTCATTTGCCTCATTACACTGAGAAGGAAGTTGGCAAGCAGAGAAAATGACTTGTTCAAAGATGCTGCTGAGATTGCAGTGCCTGCAGTACAACCTGACTGTCTTACCTCTGCCTGATGTCTTCTGCTGGTCTTTTTCTTGCCCGCCCCCCCCCGGTCTAGGTGACTGCCTACACAAACTCTCTGTGATGTCAGTTAACCGTACAGAGGTTTTATTTGAGCCTTTCCCTCCTTGTAGGTCCGGGGAGTCTTCCCCTGGGTGATACAAATATGGACTCAAAATTTGTCAGCTTCCTGATCTGTGGCTTTTATGATAAATTGTTGAACTGCACAATTTTCATCTTGTCCCTCATGTTCAAGACTGGAAACCAGTAGAGGAGATTATTTACTAATCAGTACAGAATAATTTTAAGCATGGCCCTATTGCTGTAGCCATTTGCCAGTCTGATGGTCACCTACCTCCTGCAGAGTCCAGTGGAACAAATCCTGTGTGTTTTCTGTGGACTCGAGCTTTGGTCAGAATGATCATATTGTTCAGATTCCTTACAGAAAGCATTTTGTTGCACTACAGCTTGACTGTTTCTTGAGCTATGCAAATGTGGGTATTCATATTCCAAAGGATTTGGGGGATTCTTTTGTTTTAAATAGAAGATTATTGTTTAGAAAAGCTTAAGAATATACTAATTGGTATATTAGCAATATTAGTAAGATCAATGTGTTAAAAACGATATTAAAATACTAAAAGATTAAGGAGTTTCAAATAAAAGTAATATTTTAATCATTGAATTATTGAAATGTAGAATTTGTGTTTAAACAAGCTATTAAATGCTGTAGATGTAATGATCACTTTTTGTTTTCATAGCAGTCTAGATTTATCAGAACTTGCAAAAGCAGCTAAGAAGAAACTTCAGTCTGTAAGTAAAACTTGCAGTGTGTGCTGTGTGACACATCTTTGTCTAGACGTGGCAAACTCTGCACTTCATCTTTCAAGCTGGTTTCAGCTGCTATTAATTCCTGCATAAATAAATGTCAACTCTGTAGCAAGTTAAAAGTCTGGATAAAAACATGAAAATAGGCAGAAATAGAGGAGCGGAGGTGATGACAAATCCATGATGGAGAACAAATACTTGTTGGTCTTGTTTGGGGTATATCTATATATAGATACTATATAGATACAGATACTATCTCTAGGTCTGTCTCCCCAGTTCAGAACCTTAAACTTTGTTGTTTGTCTTGCTGTCATGTATTTTGTATAAATCTGTATGTTACATGTTACTTTTTGCCTTTAACTTTGTGGAAGGCCAGAATAGTGCATTACTGTCTGCAAATTAGTTGATAGTAGTGCCAGCTCACTAGTTTTACTAAAGTGTTGGTGACCAAACCCTTGTACAAGTTAGAGTGGGGATATGTTTTCCCTCTACTTAAAGCTTTTAGCTGAAGCAAATTGTATCAAAGGATAAAAATTTTGCAGTTGGGGGAAGAACAATGCTGCTGATATTCTTCTATTCAACAATGTCCGTTTTTCTCTAAAGGTAATGCTAGTGGTCATGAAAATTCCAGCTAAGCAAGCCAGCACGTGTAGAACTGGTATTCAAATAGTAATCAATACAAACCAAGTACGAATCCTACTTCAGAACTGGCTTTCTGTTAACATGTTCACATGCTGTTACCGGCTACTTTAAATGCATAGCTAGCTAGAAGTAGATGGATTCCTGCATTGTATTTTTGCAAGTTGTGGGGGGTTGACCCTGGCCAGCAGCCCAGCACCAACACAGTCCCCCCAGCAGGACAGGGGAGAGCACAAGAAGAGCAAAAGCAAGAAAACTCATAGGTTGACTTAGAGGTAGTTTAATGGGTGAAGGGAAGAGAAGAAAAACAAGTGAAGCAAACGAAATCGCTCAGCACCTCCTACAGGCAGACCACTGCCTAGCTAGTCTCTGAACAGCCATCTTGGAAGCTGAAAACCAAACTACTACTTCCTCCACCCCAGTTGTTATAGCTGAGCATGCCACGGTGTGGTATGGAATATCCCCTTGGTGGATTCACGTCAGCTGTCCTGGCTATGTCTCCTCCCAGCTTCATGCCCACCCTGAGCCTGCTTGCTGCTGGGTGATGGGGTGGGCAGAGTGGTGGGGACCGGGGGGGGAAGAGAGCGCCTTGATATTGTGCAAGCACTGTTCAGCAGTAGCCAAAACAAGGTCGTGTTATCAATGCTCTTTTAGCCACAAATCCAAAACACAGCAAGCATCATGTGGGCTTCTATGAAGAAAGTTAATTCTATCCCAGCCAGACCCAGTACACAAGTAAACATACTGGCTTTATCTGGGTTGAAGAATTATTCCAGTTGCTCTTTGGTTAAGAATTTAGGACTCAAACTCTGGAAAAAGCAGGGCTGGTTTTCCTGTAAATAAAGCTAAACCCTAGAAAAAGCGTTAGGTTTTTCGCCCTTTTTAGTACAGCTTGTCCCAGAGAAGGAAGATCAGCCACCTATTCAGGCTTGCTTACACTGTCATTTAGTTATCAAGTCTGGTACCCATTACTAATGTTAATGCACTGTACATCAGTAAGTGAAACATCCACAAAGCCCTGTGACATCTTAATTTCATGTTTGATCTTCCAACAGCTCGCTTCTTCATAACACAAGTATCTCTCTTGAACCATCCGCTGTAGGAACACAGTTTGAAACATGCAAGCATTTTGTGAGTCTTCACTGTTCAATTAAGCCCACATCTACAGTGGCATTTGGGTACTTAATTCCCACAGTAGGTCTGCTTCACCCAGTACACAAGGTCTCTTTGTGATCAGATAGGAGATTAAAAAAATCCATTGACCGGTAACGGAAAAGTGTCGAACCATATTGTTGTCTCTGTATCTAGCAATCGGGTGGTCGTATATGTCTGCTTAATGGATTACTCCACTACGCAGGCTGAGAAACAAGCAATTATATAGGCTGAAAAACAGCCAAGGGAGAGCAGAGTTGTGCTCTTATATTTTCTGTGTTATAGAGGTCTTATTAGATTTTATTTATTTTCAAGCTGCAATTATTCTCTTCTACCCTTAGCTAAGCAACCACTTATTTGAAGAACTTGCCATGGATGTGTATGATGAAGTTGACAGGAGAGAAACAGATGCAGGTGAATGAGGCTTTCTGGAATGTGTATAAAATAAATTTGAATTGTTACATTACATACAAGATGCTAGTGCAAGCATATGTTCTATTTAAAGTACTTCTGTATTCAGTAATTACTGATAATGGTAGTTTGTTTGTCTTGCATTATCTGAAGGTGACGCTAATTGAAAAAACCTTGTGTTTTTTACAAAGTAGAGAACCCTCTGGGGAAAAAAGCCTTCCTTTGAATTGATTGTGTTTGTGTTTGAAATTGTGGTCTTTTATTCTTTGACAAGAAACACTGTCAAATAGTACAGGAAGATTATTCCCTCTTGGGGTTTTTTTGTTTGTTTTTTTTTTCTCTCGAGCAGTTTGGCTTGCTACTCAGAATCATAGTACACTTGTGACAGAGACCACAGTGGTCCCTTTTCTTCCCGTAAATCCTGAATATTCCTCAACCAGGAATCAGGTATGCAATCTTCCTAATACTGTAAAACTATTTTGATTTAATAGGCCAGGTATTCTAAGTAACATTGCTTTACTGTACTTCGTTACTGTAGAAGAGCTGCATCTACTTGTAAAGAGGTTAAAATAGTTTCACATTTCCCCTGCCCTGGAGTGTTCAGCTGGATAATTTAAATCACACTTTTTGCAATAAATTTAATTGAACAATCAACTCGCTGTAAGTGCTATAGTCTTAGTTTTACCTGGGAACTCTGCTGTTCATCTAATACACGATGTACTTTTTTTTTTTTTCCCCCTGCATTATTCTGTAATTTAGGGAAGACAGAAACTGGCTCGATTTAATGCCCATGAATTTGCTACGCTAGTTATAGATATTTTAAGTGATGCCAAACGAAGACAACAGGGGAATCCTCTCACTGGTTCAAAAGGTGAGTATATTTTTGGTTGTCAGCTCTTCTATATGCAATTTTTCAGTAGTTTAATCAATACCATAGCCTCATTCAGAAGTACTATATAAATAAAGAAAGATACTTATACTGTTTTTATGAATGATAAGGACTACATCATATGGATAGCAGGCTATTGACAACAAGCATTAGGCCACCAAAATAATCCCCGAGTAGAGGAGATTTGTCTGTTAGGGTTGGTGTTTGTAATACAATTAAATCAAGTGGGATATGTGCAATTCAGGAACATCTTTTTATGATGGTTGTGATTTTTATGATAACTTGGTAAAATTTTCCAGAATACTGCTATACAGTTCTAGAGTGATGCTTCGTTTGATTGGCAGCTAGGATAATGTCAGTGTTTTAGATGCTGACTTTCCTGGCTGCTCTATACATGCAGGACTTTGCTGTAATTTAGATGCCCTTGAGCTTATTGCTAATTTGCCTAAAAATGTATACTTTCTGTATTTCTTGAGCATGATAGATATCAAAGAATACAAATACCTATGCCAAGAACCAGACAGCCATAGTTCTAGCCATGATGGTATGAAACAACATCTGAACGCTAGTTCTCCCTCTGGAGAGAAAATACAAAAAATCTTTTCTAACTTTTAATTTTTGCCTATATTTTTCATTTGAATGTTGACATCCATTTGTCCAGCGTAGTCTGTTTTGTTTTTTTTTTTCCCTTATGTGAATTTTATTAAGCTGCTACAGCACGATTCTCACCACTTACTTTAACTTGTCTAAACACTTACAAGAAATGAAAAGACAAAAGCATAAAACTTTGACGTTTTGGACAGTAATAATCCATACCTATTAGGTGGATCTAAATTAATTTTTTTGAACTGGGCTACTCAAATGATACTTTATTATGGCATGTCTTGTATTGTCTCTCTGATTGAAGATCCTTCCTTTTTTTTTTAATTACTTTAAAGTATGCACTTCCATTTTTTATCCAGACTTACTAATATGTTTTAAAATGGTGTATGTTGATCTACAGAAAATGTGGAACTGATACTCAAATCAATCAGCAATCAACATAGTAGTGAAAGTCAGGATAATGACCAGCCTGATTATGACAGTGTTGCTTCAGATGAAGATACAGATCTGGAAACAAATGCAGCTAAATCAAACAGACAGAAGGTAGGTTTGAAATGTTTATATACACACCAAATTTTATTCATAACAGTAATCTGCAGTGAATCTTTCCCCTTGTGAGGGGATTTAACATGCATAAATGATCAGAAAACAAATATTTTAATTCATTTTCAAATTAATTTCAGAATCATACCTCAATCTATGAACTTTAACAAAATTAAGTGTTGTGACTTAAGGAAGTTTTAAAATGCTTCTCTAGAAAAGTAATGTGCACCATTGTGCATGTCTGGAGTTAAGATATAGATCTAGTTGCACAGATGAAATAATTGGATCTACCAAAATGCTCTTAATCAGTGATTCCATGGTATTTCACAAACATTTATTGCTTCCTAGTGAAGAAATATTTACAGCAGACCAATAGTGACTGAGTGTTTTAAACCATTCCTGAAAATAATGCAGCATGGTAAAAAAAAAAGGGGGGGGGGGGGGAGAAGGGGGGGCAGTAAACCTTAGTAGTTCTGTTTAATCTTTCCTGGTAACATGCACACTGGGTATTTAGTAACCTGTCTTATGACTTTCCAGTTCTGTATTGCATATTTAAAAAAAAAAAAAACCAAACCAAACTTTATGGAAGAGTATTGTGTTACTGAAATGCTGAGACAAATGTTTTTGTGCATAGAGGAGCTAAGATTTGATTGACATCAAATTTCTTTTACATTGGACTAAAATTATTTTAATTAATGGATCTTTTTAATTTGAATTTAATTTGAACTGTGATTCCTTTAAAGTAAGTACATGAAAAGCTGTCAAAATCTCATTGTCTTGTTTTCTTTTGGTAGTCTGTTTCCCAGTGGTGTAAGTATTGTTCTCTTACTGTTTATAGAGCCTGGATTCAGACTTGTCAGATGGACCAGTGACAGCCCAAGAATACATGCAAGTTAAAAACGCATTGGTGGCTTCTGAGGTAAAGATTCAGCAGTTAATGAAAGTGAACATCAACTTGAGTGATGAGCTGAGAATCATGCAGAAAAAGGTAACAGGCACAACAGTGTAACTCCTTCATTTCTTGATGTATTTTAAGTTGACCAGAATAAAACTGCTGAAACTGAAGATGCAATAACCCAATATTCGGATAGTGAGAAAACTGATTTTAAAATGGAGCTGCTTTGGAATCAGATGAGACTATAAATGTATATGTGCAGCACATGCTTTGAATGTTTTTTTTGTGGAGGTGATGATGATCCGCTTAGTTCACTTTGACATAAGTTTTCCAAGTGACAAGACAGTTGTTGCAAGTTTTGTATGTTTTTGCTGTCTTGCTTCAAGATAAGCAGTTTGCAAGAATGAGGAAGTAAGTGCTAGCACACACCTTACGTGTGTGCACGTATGTATCTAATGTACTTCCAACTTTTCCAGGAAATATGTTGGGATTTTTTCATTAATAAGCCTAGCTGGAATGAAGGGAAATTAAAATCCCAATCCGGTTTGGCAGTAGAAAATAATCTGAAATGTGGCAATACAATATAAAGTTTTTGTATACCAGGAGGCCAAGATTTGCTTGCGTTTGAATCCATGCGAAATAGCACATAAAGGATGTAGTGGTAAACTCAGTTCCTGCTTTAAACCTTCAGTATGGGTTTTGTCTAGATGAGGGTAAGGTAGAGGTATCTCCTTTAGAATATGAGTTACTATGTATAGATAGTCTTATACAAACAGAAAACTGAACATTTTTTGCTAAAATCCTGAATTTAAAGCTCAAAAAACCCAGTTTGGAAGCCAGACCTTCTAATCCTTACATAACCAAATCAACAATTTGTTGAATGCTTTGCCAGTGTTCTGGTAAATAGAGATTTTTGTGGGGTAAAGGAGAATTTGTATCTGTATTGAGTTCACTGTCCTGTCTGTCATGCTAGCCTAGAAAGGGTTGGCTGCCTCCTCAAATTAATTCTTTACCTAGTGTTAAAAATTCTGTTTTCCAAATAATTACAATACTGCAAGACTTAGAGTGTGCTGCAGAAAGCTCTCCCCCTGTAGAGAAAGTTGTTCAAGCTGTGGTCCCGCAGAGGTGAACCTGTGCTGAGAGCTTGTTTCCCCATTGTTTTGGGGCAAAGAGGCAGATGCTTTGGAGAGTGGTGGGAACTGTTGAGCTCTTAGCATCTGAGGCCAAGCTAACTATTCTACGATTCTATGATTCTAATTCAGCAGATTCTAATATCTTTGTCTGTTCAGTGCCATCCTTCTGTTACAATTGTGTTCAGCCTTTCAGATCGATTGGAATGGTGAATACTGAGAGGAACCTAAGAGACCTCAGGGTGTTCCCTTGGTCTTTTAACAGCTTGTACTGGTTAAGCGTTTCTCTGCATCAGCTGAATTATCTTTTCACTTATATTGAGTTTCTTTAAACAGATAGAGTCTATTTAGGGTAAAAAAAAATACTTAGGGCATATGAATTAATGAGGCTTTAGTATATTTATGTGGTGTAGCAGAAGAGAGATCATTGCTGTGCTGCAGTTGAACTTGTTATGAAAGATGGCATAGCCGGGGCTTACTCACCTTGGAGATGAGTTGCACTAATTTTGTGTCCTGATGATGTATATAGCTACGGGGCTTTAACTTAGTGTTTAGTGGCTCTGGATTGGTGAAGAATCGATGTAGCCGTGCGCCATTGCAGAATGCAGGATGGGAGGAAGGGCCAACAGCTGTCGTAGCTCTAAGCTACTGGGAACTTCGGTACGATATGGGAATTCTCTGCTGGGTTATTTGTGGCAAGACACTGATATATTTGTACTACTTCAGCAATTCTAATGCAATAGATGTCATTCAAGAGTCTGTGTTTTGTTTTTTGTTTGTTTTTGTTTTCTAAGCAAGAGCTTAGAAGGTCATTGAACTAAAAAAACCCAATCTATCCACTTTATGTATCACTTTATTAGCCAACTGTGTATCTAATCTTTTGCATGGAAATTACTAAGCAAAAGTTAATTAAGGAAGAGGCAAAGTTACACTTGATGAATGCCACTTTAGAGTAGATTCTTCCTAAATAAAAATGAAAATAGTTCCGTTATTTTAATGGGCATTCTAATGGAAAAAGCTATTTTTTTTTAAGCCTGTGGATTTTTTTAGGTGCTTATAGGTGGTTAAGAGTTAGGTGTGAGTTTACATTAGCTGTTGACTAAAACTGCACCAAAAGCACATTTATAAAATGTGGAAGAAGTTTGGAAGGAGGAGGCTATAAAGTTGACCTGTTTAATTGCCTCTAATATCAAACTTTAAAGGGGTAGCTTGACTCCTGGCTGATCCTCAAATCTTAAGACTTGATGCATCTTACTACAGAGCACACAGAAAGTGGGGAGGAAAAGCATAAATTATCTTGATAGAAGTCTGCATGTTTGATTTAGGGTTCTGGGAAGTCCTGTAGGCAAAATAGGATTTTTTTGATAATGTTCTTGAAGGTTCATATGATGCAAAGTAAATGCAAGTAGTAAATATGCAATTTCCTGTTTAAAAGGCCATCAGCTGTTTGAAATATTATACTCAATTATTGTTAAAGGATTCCTGATACAGACTTTTTTTACATCTTTTCTTTATGATGTGTTAATATAGCAAACTTACTCTGAGTAACTCCACAAAAAAATCAGAATTGTTGCATTTTTATTATGCATCAAATACATAATGATAAAAAGCTTTAAAATTATTTCTTGTTGGCTTCTTAGAAAGCAGTAGCTGATACTTAATTTTCATAACCTAAACTCTCTTCTTGCTTTGCAGAGCAAGCTCTAGTTTTCTGTGCGCTATCTCTGGTGTCTGTGCTGTAGTTTTGGCATTTTCAGATTTCCTAGGCCTTATGTTAAAGTCCTCTTTCAAGTTCTTGTATTGACTGCTGAAATGGATCACTTTGCTTGAAAAACTGTTTTGTTGGCAGTCATTCCCCCCGCAACCTCATTATATTACACGATTCATATGCCAATATAGCCAGGCTGGAAGAAATGGATTATGTGTTTTCGACTACAACAGCCAATTTTAAGATCTAATTTAGCTTGCATCCCAGCAAAAAGTGCTGGAAGTCAGCACATAAATATTTCCAGATCTGGAACATAGATGTTTTCATGCTTATACTAAGCAAGTCAAATAGATTTGGAAAAAGAAACCAAACCCCAGCTACTAGTAACTGGATTTACTAGTGAAGCTGACAAGCGTGTATTGTATAGTCAGTTTGCTTTTGACGCTTGCTGTTAGAAAAACAAAGTCCCACTGCTAAACATTTCTTTCAGCTTCAAACGCTACAGAGTGAAAATACCAGCCTCAGAAGACAGGCCACAACCAATATATATCAGGTCCAAACTGGTTCTGAATACACAGACCCTACCAACAATTCTTCTTTAAAGCGGCGACCATCTGCACGGGGTAGCAGACCCATGTCCATGTATGAGACTGGATCAGGTCAGAAACCCTACCTCCCCATGGGAGAGGTCACATACCCAGAAGAAAGCATAACAAGACTGCAGCCTTTCCCTCCACATGTAAGTAAAACTGCTGATGCTTCTGCATTTCTTATGTTCAGCTTTTCTGTCTGTTCCAACTATGCTCATGTACCAAAGCTGCTCAACTGTCTGCTTCAAAGTGAATTTAAACTGTAAGAATTGTTAATGTTTGCTGTATTAACATGTCTGCAGGAGCTTGATGTTTTGAAAAGTAAAAGCTATAACAATTCTGGAATATGTAAACTGGAGCTTTTGGCTTCTGCTCAGCTGTTTCTTTTAACCACATTATATGCCAAATATCAATGTGTGGCTGTTTGAAAACCAGGAGGGGGGGAAAATAATATTCCAAGCAGGTAGGTAAAGTTCATGGATTTCTTTCTTGAGATATATAGGCATGTGCCAATTTGTGGAACTTCAGAACCACCTTCCAAAAATAAAATAAAATTGAAGCTAACTTTTTCATTAGGCCACCAATTTCTTATTCTGAGTTTGGAACTGGAGGCTAAAGATGGTTTAGATGTTAGTTGAACAAATTCTTCTGGTTTAGTATTTTCCTGTATGATGTGCTAATAGTGGAGAGGGAGTTCTGTATTAGCCACGAAGGTTCTGCACTGATGTGTTCACACTTTAGATAAGTGGCCCAACACACACTAGTGCTTATTAAAGTTAATTTTTTGTTGCATCTTTCTAGATTGCCCTGTGGGCAGGAATATGGAACAATATTTTTTAGGCACGTAGTTAACATTTGTGGATTTGTTTCAATATGTTTCCCTGTTGGTAGCACTACCTTGTAGTGCTCCAGATGAACAATTAAGCCCTTTAAAACATATTTGAAAGTTAATGGGTTTTTTTGCCTGGCAGGAGGGAGGGCAAATGTTTCATGCACGTTCTAAAGACGACAGTTGAGTGCACCAGGGAATCAGCGCAGAAATTTGTATGCTGGGTTTTTCCCCACCTTCAATTAAATTAGTAGGAACTTTAAACTATGAAATCTGGATCATTTTAAATTATATTGGCATGTTGATATAAAGGCAGTTCTGGCAGCAAGGAACGTCAGAATTCTTTTGTATGTGGCAATGTTTGCAAAACACGAGAGTGCTTTGTATAGGTCCTTTGGTCATTTGGTTTGAAATTTGGATAGAAGTAGCGGCTCTGAAGCATTGATTTGTTATGTGGAGTTAGTTAATTTGGTATTATGGTGAATGTATTTTAGTCCCTGTGGAATTTAGCACCTCTGGAATATCAATATTAGAATTATCATGAAGTCAATTGTATTTTGAAAGAATTAAGTCCACTCAAGCTTAGCCAAATTCTCAAAATCATTCTTGCTTTATGTCCTCTCCATGGTTTTAAGAATGTTCCTTTATTTCAGTTAAGAATTTATTTGTGTTTTGTTTTTGGTTTTTCCCGAGTGTTTTTCTCTTTCCCATTTTTAGATCGGGAGGAGTGCGTTTGTGACCTCCTCTTCATCTCTACCTTCCTTCCCCTCCACGCTTTCCTGGTCAAGGGATGAAAGCACACGAAGGGTTAAGTACCTTCCCAATTGGTCTTTTACCTGGAGGAGGTGGCAATCTCCCTAGAAGCCATTATGCCTCTGCCTTCTCCCCTTTTATGCTGACTAGCCTTCATGCTTGCATGAAGCAGTATTTCATCACTTTCCATTTTCTTCTGCCACATGCTGTGGATACTCGCCTCTCTCTAACTTCACAACGGCTAAAATCTTTAGCATTTAACACCATGCACAGTTACTCCAGATCACTTGTTCAACTGCGTAACACTGAAAACAGCCAGAAGACAAGTTGGTTGCTGTTTGGAAAGTAATTTGGCAGGCACTCACTGATAATTCATAAGCCAATACATAACTCTTCCTACTGACTAAAATGCACTGCATGAGGCATTTGAAGCTCACTGGGTACTAGCTTTAAAGCCTGCTTTCTTCGGGGGCTGTCAGTTTGCACCGGTCCAAATTGGTACCGATTGACCATTTATCTTACAGATGTTCATTAGTTTGTTTGAAGGGATTTCTATAAGCATCCAAACAGATAGCCATCCATATTGCCCACTGATACATTTAGTATCAGCTAGCCTGCTTTCTGCTGACCTCGACAGATGAAAGACTGGGCATGGGAATTGTTTTTAGCAAGACTCCTTTCAGGGCAAGATTAAAGACACTGAGAATGTATAAAGGAAGCTTATATTGCTGTTCCATCAGGATCTACAAAACTTTGTTCTTAAGATTTTTGTTAGCTACAGTACTGACTCTAGGAAAAAAATGGCAGCGTTACCATGAAACATTAAATGCATTCTGTAAGCTTATGTTATTCCAAAGACACTGTCTTTGCTGTGGCCTCATATGTGAGCTATTAGCTATTTGAAGAAGCCTTGTCCAGCTTCTTAAACTTTTTTTAAACGCTGTTCTCTTTTTGTAGTGGGACACTTAAATCTAGTCTTACTCAAATTCATTTGCTAGAAGTGAACATAAAATGCCACCTTGCAAAAGGACACATTTAGTGCAAGGCAAACAGTTAGTGCAGGCAGACTAATCTGCCTGTGACAGCTTCTTTTTAGACTATGGTTTTTTGGGATCCTTGAACTAATTGCAAGTTACATATTCAAAAGAAGGGAAAAGCACATTGCATTTGCAGCTCTAGAGTAACATCCATTTTTGGTTGTGAAGGAGCAGTGACTGAAGTAATGGACCCTGAGCAGGTACAGCTTAATGTGTCACAGACTAATGAATGCTGAAGATGAACAACCCATAGCTTTTATGCTGCTGTTTGACCAGCCTGAGCTACCAGCTTGCACCGCTTACAGAAAGTACTCTCCGTCACCAGAATGAGTCGATTACATTTCGAGGTCTTGCTCTGACTAAACCTCTTTAACTTAGAAGCAAATATTAATACAAGGTCCTTTGGGCTGTTTTTAGATGTTTATGGATTATGATTTCTTAGGAAATAATGAGTAGCTTATACCCATTTTGTTGTATCACGTGTTCAAGATTTAGGCTTTGCTTATTTCTGTGTTAAAACTTTCTGAGAGTAAACTTGAGAGAAGAGTATTGGTATTTCTTTGTAAGACTTAACTGATTTTGAAAATATCTTTCAGGAAAAGGTCTGTCTTTTTGCTCTGCTTTTTCTGTGTGGTTAATACAATGAAATTGGTACCGTCTCATTCCGTTTCTTGGGCAAGCATTGTAGAGTCTCTAATTAAATTTTACTATATAATACTAAATTTTTCAAAAAACAAGTCTGTGGGTTTAGATGTTGAATGGTCATACTCTGGCCTCTTCCTGCCAGGATAAAGAACCTGCTTTTTAAATTCTTGTGTCCCCATTTTATTTTGACTGTACAGTGTTTGGACATATCAATCGAGAAAATACTAGATTTGCAAGTAGGGCTAGATGATAAAACTTACAAGGGAATATCCTGCTTGGTCAAATGCAAATCTGGGTTTGGCTGCAGCTGATATCAGTACTATGTAGTATTAGAAACTTGCAGAGGGTTCGTTTGTCTGTTTTTATTGTACGCTGATTCCATTACTATACTATATTACTGATTCCATAATATCCTATTCTTGTAATTCATTGTTGGCATTTGTATTTCTGACCATAGCGTAGAGCTTTGTCACTAATCGTACTGTTCTTCTCTATACATCTGGGAGAGGGGAAAGGTCAGACTCTACAGATAATAGTTTCATATCTTCAAAATATGTGTCACTTTTAGAATTGATCTTTACTAGCTATCCTGAGAGGTGAGCGTTCAAAAAATGCTTGTTTTTCCCTTCTGTGCAGAATAACTTTAAAATGGACAGAAAGTGTTCATACTCCAGGTGCTTCAGAGTTAAGTATTGTTGGTTTTAACATTAGATGAGTGCTTAACAAACGTACTGGATCTTAACCAATGCATACCAATTCCTAGTCGTATTTTTGGTCTGTCCTCGAGGTAGAAGTATTATTTCCTAAGTGTGTGGATCAGGGATGCAAACTGAAGGGGTCCCTTACAGTCTAACACTTGAGATTACCTCATCTTGACTTCAGAGCTTCTGTAAAGCTCCAAGGCTGGTTCTTCAACGGAGCTTGCAAAGGACCTTATTACGTGAGCAGTGTCTGTGACTAAGGCAGGAGCTGATGCAGAGGCTGATCTGTATGCAGAGTGACACTGATGTGGCATACTTGCAAATGGATGAGCTGTAGTAGGCACTTCTGATGAGCTTTGCAATTTTTAAGACTAGAGTAGGCGGGTGTGTGGTGATCCTGGGGCCCGGCTGAGGATGGGAGTGTGCCTCGGGGGCTTCAAACTGCAAATTCATGTGAACTGCAGAGATTGGCCTGACAGTAGGTATTCATAGCATAAACCTCCAGGATGTTGTATTGCCTGGGCATAAAATATCCAAGAAGGCTAAACCAGGTTAGAGAAGGGAGCCTAGCTCTCTATCTGAAAGTCTGCTTGAACCTCTTGCTGACAGAGGTATGTTAGGATCTGCAGGGAGAGCACTCTTGAGCTGTCATGGTGCAAGTATGCTTATTTGTGTTAGCAGCCCTCTGAGAGGGTTAAAAAAAAAAAGTTGAAAAGGAGTTTAGGAAAAAAACCTGAGCATCATCCTTGCCCACAGATTAGATGCTTTACTGGGAGGTGCAGAACTGGTCTGTATGGGAGTAGGAGGTGGTGAGTGTTCTGCCATTGCACCTGGGAGAAAGCGCACGTGCTCAGAGGCAGGGAATGGGCGGCACTCTGGTTCCCGGTGTGGACACAGTCACTGTGTATCTCCCCAGGGAACGCCTCGTGAAGGGGAGAGTGGGAAAATACTGGGCCTCTGACTCTGTTTATGGCCTCCACCCTCTGGAGCAGCACTCTGCAGCTGGGCCTTCCCATGCTCGGTCCGGCCTCCACCCTGCAGTGGGCCTCCCACACTCGGTCTGGCCTCCCACGCTTGGTTCAGCCTCCAACTCTGTCTTCAGCCTTCCCTCTGCCATGGTCCTCCCACTCTAGGTTTGACCTCACCTTTTTTGTGTGCCTCCCAATCTAGGTTTGGCCTCCTACTCTGTGGTGGGCCTCCATTCTGAGTTCGGAGTCACAGGCTCAGTTCACCCTCCACTCCACTGTGTGCCTCCCACTCTCGGTTCGGCCTCCCACTCAGCTGTGGGCCTTCACTCTGGGTTCAGCATCCGCTGTGGATTTGGCCTCCAAGCTCATTTTGGTATTATAGAATGGTTTGGGTTGGAAGGAACCTTAAAGATCATCTAGTTCCAACCCCCCTGCCATGGTCAGGAACACCTTCCACTAGACCAGGATGCTCAAAGCCCCATCCAGCCTGGCCTTGTATCCCACTCTTCATTCATTCTTTACTCTGGGTTCAGACCCCTGGTTGGATCAGCCTCCTGCTTTGCAGTCGGCCTCCCACACTCGGTCCGGCCTCTGCTTCGTGTGTCCCTGCAACGCTCAGTCTGGCGTCCACTTCCTTCTGTGCCTACAATGCTCGCTCTGGCCTTCATTTCCTTCTGTGCCTCCTGCCCTCGTTTCGGCTTCCACTTTGGAATTGGCCTACCACCTCCTTTTGACACGAATTCTTCAGTGGCCGTCTACTCTTGTGGCCACAGCTCTCACTTATTTAACCTTTGTTGATCACCAATCTGCAATGGGGCTCAGCTCTCCCTGTTTTGGTCTCCCACCCCTGTTTCGGCCTTCAATCTGCAATGGACCTCAACTCTCCTCATTTCACCCTCCCACACCCCTTTTGGCCTCCCACCCCCATTTTGTCCTCCAATCTGCAGTGGGCCTCAACTCTCCTTGTTTTGGCCTCCCACCTCCATTTCGACCTCCAATCTGCAATAGGCCTCGACTCTCCTCTTTTCGGCCTCCCACCCCTGTTTTGGCCTCCAATCTGCAAGGGGCCTTGAACTGTCCTCGTTTCTGCCTCCAATCTGCAGTGGGCTCCAAGTCTCGTTGGTTCAGCTTCCTACATGCCCTTTGGTCTTCCACCACAATTGGCCTCCCACCGTCATTTCAGTCTCCTGTCTTTATTTTGGCTTTCACACTGCAATAGTCCTCAACCCTCGTTTTGGTCTCCCGTTCTGCGGAGGGCTTCCCAGGGTCAGCCTGTGCTCTGTGGTCAGAACCCCATGCTTGATTTGGCCTCTACTCTGTTATGGGCCTCCCACACTCGGTCCAGACTCCTGCTCTGCCTGTGCCTCAATTCTTGTTTCAGCCTCCCGTGCTCGGTTTGGTTTCCACTCTGTGTTCAGCCCCCCACGCTTTGTCTGACCTCCAGTCTGCTGTGGGCCTCCTGCTCTTGGTCTGGCCTCTTTCTCCCTGGTGGTCCTGCCCTCTCTGTTTGGCCTCTGCTCCCCTGTGGGCCTCCCCCTCTGTGCCCACGTGGCAGTTTCAGCGGCAGGGGAAGGACGCTGTGCTGTGGCCGTCTGTCCCGCCCTGCGGCCCGGCTGGGTGCTGGGGCAGAGCCCTTGCTTTGGGTCTGGTGGGGCTGTGCGGTGCCGGCAGCGCCCAGGCTCACATACAAGCTGGCAGCAGGAGCCTGGCACAGGGTGAGGGGGCACACCGGGCTCCAGGGTAGCGGCTGGTACAGGGGCTGTCGTGCTAAAGAGCAAGCCCGCCTACTCAGGACGTGGCGCTGGCACAGCTCGGGGCTCCTCTTTTCTGCACAACACTGAAACATGTATTCGTTGCAGGCCTCGAAACTGGAGAAGCAGAGCAGCGTGTCCGAGAGTGACTACGATAACCCCACTGCCCCTCTGGAGCTGGAGGAGACGGGGTAGGTGCTGCGATGCAGAGCTAGCGGCACAGCTCCGTGCTGTCGGAGGACGGGGAGTTGTGTAAGCAGCCAGTTCTGTCCCGCAGGGCTGACCTCTGCTTTGTTCCTTTGCAGGTCAGGCAGGAAGGGCCGGCAGAGGAGTGTCATTTGGCAGGGGGAGAGCTCCATCCCTGAAGATGCTGACACAGCCCCCAACTCCAGTTTGCCCAGTACAGAAGATGTGATTCGGAAAACTGAGCAGATCACTAAGAATATTCAGGAGCTGCTGCGAGCAGCACAAGAGAACAAGCATGATAGGTAAGGCGTGAGTGCTGGAAAAGCTCCAGAGTTTGTGAGAAAATGAAGAAAATTCTTCAGGTGTTTGCACACGTACAGCCACGACCACCCGTGTTAACGCTGGAGATGCTGATGTCACACCTACAAAACCTGTAGGTCCGTGGTGTTTCCTGGTGCACTAGACCTAATGCCACAGGGTGAGCGGGGATGAGTGACCAGCACAGGCGGTGGGAACACACGCTCCTGTCCAGAAAGCCGGCGGAGCCCCTTGTGAGTGGGTTCTGGCTGCAGCACTGCCCACTGCCTGCCACCTGCCTGCACTGCCCTGCCCTGCCCACAGCTGGCACAGGGATGAGGAGCGCTGGGGAGCAAAGCGCTTGTGAAGTCCTGCCGCAAAATGAGTGTTGTTTTAGGTATAAATCAAACGTGTTGCAGAGAACTTGGCGTAAGTTTCTCTTGGGTCTTCAGACCTCCGTGTCCTTAGGTAAGGACACCGCACAGAAGTGTGATAGTAACACCGAGTCTGGTTTCAGGAAAAATTTGTGAAGGCAGGGAGAATTTGGCTTTCCTACTGAAATATTAGTACAGATAACGTACCAGCAAAAGCTATTTTGAACTATGGGGTTTAGACACAGTTGTAGCTGGGTAAGCAGGAGACTGTTCATCAGCACGTCAGGTAGCACACAGCTTCAGCTCTCTCGGGGAACTTCTGGCCCAACTGAACAATTAATTTTCAGAATAGCCGTGAGCGAGTAAAAATGATACTGCCCCTGCCTGATCATCAGGTGGTGCTCCTGCCCAGCTCTTTTAGAAGACTGTAAGCAAGAGTTACGTCTTCCCAGGTATGAACACGTTTTAGGTCTGGAACAGCTTTGGTCTCCAGAAAATCTGAACATGCAGACTGGTAGGTCTTGCATTCTGCCGCCCGTCCCAAGTTCTGTGCCTGTCTTTGCCTGTGAGAAGCGACTGGCGATTTGTGTTAAGCCCTCGCTTCCTGCCTTGCTGAGAGAAGTGCACAACAATGGGGCCACTTTTGTTCTGTGTTTTTCCCTTCTTGTACTTTTCTATTTTTAGAAGGGACAGCACGCGGCCTCTCCTCACACTGAATGGCGAGTTCTAACGTGTTTGTGCTGAGCTCGTTGCCCTTGTCCGTAACCTTTTCCACTGCAATCCTTTGTTGCTTGTTTCTCACAGATCATAACAAGAAGCAACAGTAAGAGAAGCTTTAAATGAGTTTTTATGTATACCACAGTTCACAGTATTTGAATTACATTTTTTAAAAACTCATTGAAAGAAACAATACGGCTCACCTAGCTTTCTCTGTTGAATAGTTTTTTAAACAACCTGTTATGTTCTTTTTCTGTACCATGCGTGGAGTGGGGTGTTTGCCAGTACTTAAATGAGTGTTGCAAAACACTGAACTGTGAAGCTGCTGTTCTTTGTTTTCCTGTTCCCTGGCTTTGTCTTGGTGGGCTGAGAACAGCCTGGGGCATGAGGGAGGTGGAGTAGGCTTGTTCCACCATTCTCTTCTTGCAGTAGGGGAATGCTTCCTTAACAAAATGAGATACTCAGTGATGTAATAATATGGCTTCCAGCTAGTGCTGGGAACATTGTAGATAAAAA